GGGGGTTCAGCCCTGCAGTGGGATTTTTGGATGTTTACAGCAGGAACGGCTGGAATTGGATCCGGGTCCGCTCCCAGCTGCTTGGGAAGCAAAAGGAATAGAACAAATGATGGGAAAAGCACAAATCAGAGGTGTCCCAAAGGAAAATAAAGGAAAGCTTGAGTGGAGACAAGATGGCTCTGCTGGAAAAATGAAGGACAAACAAACATTTTGGTGCTTCCCGGGAGCTGGCACCTCGGGATCTGCCTTCCCTAAGGAAAAAGAAAGGAAAAACAGCCCAAAAATGGGAGTTTGTGATTCCCACCCATCCGTGCCCCGACCCGACTCCCCCCACTCCCTGGATTTTTTTTTTTTTGTCACAACCTATAAAAAAGTCCTTCCTGCAGCTTGTTTCATAGGAATGCTGGTGGATCAGTGAATTCCAGGAAAAGGCTGGCACCACCACTGGGACCCTGGGATTCGGGGTCAGTGCAGCGTTTGGGGTTCCCGGAGCACAGCCCGACAGTGCAAAGGGCTGGGAAGGGTCAGGCTGGGACAGGACGGGGAAAAAAGGGGGGAAAAAAGGCATTGGGAGCTCAGAAAGGCACAAACCTGCCAAAACCCCTCATTTGTGCTGAGGCCAAACCTTCAGAATGTCCAAAACCAACCAAAAATCAATGTTTTGTACCTCTGGAAGGGCCTTCCCAACGCTGGGAATCACCGGCCCAGAGGGCTCCGCTGGGATTCCCCAGGTGGATCAAAAACCACCTGAGCCGTGGCCCCCAGGGGCTGGTATTCCTCTTTTTCTCTCAATTTTCCATCTTTTTGCCTTTTTTTCCCTCTTTTTGATGGTGCAGGGGGTTGAGCTCAGGTGCCCACAGTCTGTGACAATGCCAGAGGGTGGAAAATTCCAGCAGCTTCAAAGGAAAATTCTTTGTGGTTTGTGTTTTTTTTTTCCCTCTTATGAGCCAGCACATGGAAAAAAGAGACAGAACCTGGGGGATTTGGGCAACTTGTGGGGCCTGTGGGTGGCTTCCCACGTCCCCATGCGAACCAGGAATGGGATTGGGGTGTTAAAAAGGAAAGGAAAAGGGGAAAATGAGAAAGGGGAAAAGGGGAAAATGAGAAAGGAGAAAAGAAGGAAAGGAAAAGAGGAGGAGAAGGAGAAAAAAGAAACAATAAAAGGAAAGGGGGAGAGGGGCAAGGAGGAAAGGAAAAGGAAAGAAAGGGGAAAGAAAAAAGGAAGGGAAAGGGGAAAGGACGAAGGAAAAGCAAAAGCACTGGAGTCTCCTGCTGCTCATCCCCTTGCACTCCATGGAGCTTTCAGCACCTGCATTTCCTGAAAGGGACGGGCAGAGGGTCAGGGCTTTATCCCAGCGCTGGGAAAAGCCCTGGGAAGGCTCCAGGGGCTGGAAAAGCCCTGGGAGCAGCTCGAGGGGAAGAGGAAGGTGCTGGAAGCAGAGCTCTCTACGTGCCAGCATTCCCAGAGCACCTCCAAGAGCGGGAAGTGCTGGGAATGCTGCAGTGCACTGGGGAGCGAATCCACAGCGCGCCTGGGAACCCCCCTGCCCCTCCTTCCCTCCCTGCCGTGGCTTCTGGAACCTTCCAGGAGCCGGGAGCAGCCCCGGGGGATGGCGCGGGGTTATTGCTGAGCAGAGGCATCATCTTTGTGCTGAAGGGGTGGAGAGAGGCCCTGGGCTCCCTCCGAGGTAGAAAAAACTGTCCCCGAGACGAAAGCGTGGGAAGGGAACTCCAGGAGCCTGGAACGCCACATCCAGGAGTGGGGATGGCTCTGAGCCTGTGCTGAGCCGGGAGTGCTCCGGGAGGGCTGGGATGGGGTCCCTGAATATTTAGAGTCGGGGGAAGGGAGCCCCGACTGAGGCTGATCCCTGTGCCCGAAACGCTCCCAGCTCCCCACGGATGGGAACTCCACGAAGCATCGGATCTGCTCCCAGAGAACTCAGCTCTGCGGCTCCGAGACCGGGAACGTGGCGTGGCCACCAAAGGTGGAGAAGGTCGGGAACACCGGGCAGTGACAGCCCGGGGAAGAGCCCAGGGAGGCTCCTGCGTCGCTGTTATTGCCGGGATGTTCCCGGGCCGGGCCGCGGGAGCGCGGGCGGTTCCGTGGTGCGGGGGAGGCTGGCGGGGTCGGTGTGCTGCTAACGGGACCCCCGGGGGCGGCGGGCAGCGCTCCCTAAATCCCGAGGGCGGGAAGCTTCCTGCTGCCGGCCAGCTTGGCCCTGGTCCCGCCGGAGCTGGAGTAGCCCTCGTCGCTGCCCAGGCTCTGCAGGCTGCCGCGCTCGTCCGAGTCGCTGGGGCTGCTGCTGCTCCAGTCCAGGTCGGCCGGGAGGTCGTCCGTGCTCTCCACGTCCACGTCCATCTCCTCTGCCGGGGCAACGGGAGCGGTTGGGGCTCCGGCGCGGCCTGGCCTCCCGCCGGCCGGGCCCCAGCGCGGGCGCTCACCTTGGTCCGACTCGGAGCGCTCGGAGGCGAGGCTGGAGCCGATGCTGTCTATCCTGACCCGCTCCATTCCCAGCTTCTCCAGCTGCCGCTGCAGGTGCCGCTGCTCCCGCTGCAGCTGCTCGATCTGGTGCAGGGCCCGGCGCTCCTGGTCCTCCAGCTTCTGCGGGGAACACGGCACCGTGAGCCCGGGATTCCCTGGGAGCCACCCGGGATTCCCTGGGAGCCACCTGGGATAGGGCCCCCTGAGCCCAGGATTCCCTGGGAGCCACCTGGGATAGGGCACCCTGAGCCCAGGATTCCCTGGGAGCCACCAGGGATTCCCTGGGAGCCACCCGGGATTCCCTGGGAG